GTGACTATTATCAATACTCCATTCTGTCTTTCGCCTCTTAGGAAGGAAAACAAGCTAGAACAGGTCCAGAGGAGGGCAGCCGGGATGAAGCCACCCAAGGATTCCCCAATGGACAAAAGGCCAAAGGGGATGAACAGGCAGTTCTCAAAGGAAAAATCCAAGCTATCCACGGACATGTGAAAATGCCCCAAATCACTAATAATTAGAGAAACGTAAACGAAAACAGAAGTTCTACCTCATCTCCATCAGAGACTGACCAAAGTGACAAACGAGAAAAACTGTTGTCCATCCCATCTGGAACGTCCCTAGGCCTGGCCTTGACCCTCTGAGCCAGCACTGGCACTGGCGGGCTCCCACCTCAGGGGGAACAAAGGAAGGACCCCAGTGTCCAGCTTGGTTTGTGGTGAGAACAAACTGGAAACTAAGGGGTAGGCGGGCGTATTAGTACAATGAGCACTACTGCACTGCAGGAAGTGACTGGGGATGGTTTCAGACAAACGGGAGACGCAGGTGACATGATACAGAGGGAACTGAGCTAGGCCACAGAACAGAGACGATCACATAGAAAAGACCAACAGCTCTGAGAGGGTCAGGACGTCATCTCCCGCCACAGCCAAGCCCAAGAGCAGAGGATCGGAGGTGGTGACAAACAACCCTCCCCAGCTCGGGCAGCGCGGTGACGATCTCAAAGTGCAGCAGGAGACCAAAGGGCCGTAGCTCGGCCCACGCGGCCACGTCTTTTTTGCTGACCATTCACATCTGCTACAAGACTTCTGCTTTCTTTCAACTAATGGGGGGTTGGAGAAAGAGCTGGGAGAAAGCAACGGGCTTAACAAGAAGAAAGCAAGGCAAGAAAAAAGAAACTTAACTGATTTAACATAAATGGAAAAGAAAGCTGTCTCTAACCAAGCCTTGCAGTTCCACGTTCAATCTTTTTTCTATTTTACTTTAGAAAAGGAAACGCTCTTCAGATTCTTAAATCTGGCCAATAGTGCAGACTCGCTAGAAATCTCGCTCGTCCCAATGGGTGTTCTAATACACCTTGTCTTTGACTGAAACAGGGCTCGAGTCAAAATCATTTGGGCAGGACCCGTGTACCACTATTTCAGGGTCCCTGCACCCCTTAATCTCAACATTTTGGTGGCCCGTACAGGGAAACTGCCTAACCCCAAGCGCTTCTCCAGCCAAGACTGGAAGATATGTAAGCCTCCCCTCTCTCCCTGCAGTTGGGGTCGCTCTCCAAGCACCTAGGAAGGCTTGGACACGCTTATCAGGCAGTCAGAGGTTGTCTCGCACTCAGGCCTGACCCTCTCAGGCTCCCCGTTCGGTTTTGAGGCCATCGACAGACTCCCTATCCAGAAGTATATACCCAATTCTGTCAGTTCTCTCGGTGCTAGGGAATTGGGAAAACTGCAGGTGTTTTTTGGTTCCCTGAGGCGTACTTACTCCCTTCCCTCTACACTCCTGGATCCTCCTTCATGGAGGCTACAAGGAAAACTTAGAACAGCTAAAAACATTCTAGCAGATTGTAGAGGTTTTGTGATTGATCATTAAGGAGTTTTGAAATACCTCCTTAAAACCCTGGTCACTCCCTTCCCCAAATTCCTTCCCTTGAGTCAAGAGGGTATCTCAGTGCTGTCTGCAAACAGCCCCAGTTTTTCTGTTAACCCCTCTCACCCCAGATCAGACTAGAAGAGAATTTCACCCCTCCCCCACCTGGTGAAAGGAAGTGGGGAGAGGCAGCAGCTACAGCATAGGCCCCACTGGCAATGGCCTTGGGCCCTGGGGCAACCTTTGCCTGGAAGCATCACCCAGGTTTGGTACATCCTCCTCACCCCACCCCCCACCTCAACCCCCAGCAGCCCTGGGAGAGAGAGAAGGGAGATGGGTCAAGGTAAAGAAGCCGGCCAGCCTCAGAACTTGGGTAAGCCCACTCTTTTAAAATTGTAGTTTTAACATATTAATGATGAGACGCTGATTCTCTGTGTAAAGTAATTTGGAAATGTGTTCAACAAAACTGAAGTCATCTGATTGGTAATGGGTTTGTTTCAAGTTTCAAATTGCTAAACTTTTCTATCAGTTATGTCAAATGACTTTTCATAATTTGGTTACAGCTAAAACAATTTGACTATCACTTAGGAAAGTCTTTTGTTATACTTGAAATAAAATTCAGTTTCTGGCAAATTCATTTGTGTAACTACTGAACCCAGGGGTGGAAAACTTCTATTTGTAAAAGTGTTACTTAAACTTTAGAGAAAGTAACAAGATCTCAATAATCCTGCAGGTCAAATGTAAATGATTTTAATGGGGCTCTTGCACTCTTACTTCTCCCATATTTGGGCCCTGCAATTCTGCTTGTCAGATCTGTGTCTTCCAGACTACAGGCCACTCACCTACAGCTGGTAGCAAACATTGGGTACCAGCCAATGTCACCCCCACTGTGCCCTGGATGCAGCCTGTGCTCGGTTCCAGTCAACCTCCTCTTTGGGACCCCCTCGAGGCAGGGACAGCTCTACACCCCCTGCCAGCAGGAAGCAGTTTCAGAAGCCGAGATCTTCGCCTCTTACCCCAAAAGAATCTGGGTCCCATTTACTTGGGGGGGAATGATGGGGTATAGGCCCTGGAAACCCCATCTTGAGCTTTCCTTGAGTTTTCTCCTTTTCCCAAATGGTCAAGTCTCTGGCCTTCACCTGAGGCGCCATCCCAGCAATCCTCTCAACTGGTCTAGCATCACCCTTTCCTGGTCTGCACCTGGCCCCACCCTAGACCTACCCTCCCAGATCTTATCTAGATCCCAGTCTCCCTAGGCCACATGGTACCTGGTCCTCCTCTGTTACCAGAGTCACCTGAGACTACTTGGCCACTCCGAGATCCCTCCCACATTCTTTCTGTATATAACATCCATCTCTCCTCCATTAAGGGGCTCACATTCTTAAAATATGGCCAGTAGTGCGGACTCACTAGGAATCTTGCTCAGCCCAATTAGTGTTCTAATAAACCCTGTCTTTGGGGGAAAGAAGGCTTGGGTTGAATTCATTCGGGCAGGACCTGTATCTCGTTATTTCGGGGCCCCAGCACCCCTAAGCCTCAACACTTTCAGAAGCATGACCAAGCCTACAGACTCCTCAAAATAATGTTTTTAAGTGCATAAAATGAAATATATAGGATTATAACATAAACCAATTACATTCAAGTAGTTTTCAAAATATTAAAAGACTAAGAATCCTTGTTAGAGATTGTTCTATGCAACATGCACATGCCTACTACTGAGTTAGAATAAGGGTGTACAACTCAAGACAGGAAGCCCCATGGAGACCTGTCAATCACCATTGCAACCAGTAATATCAAACTAGCAATTGTACTCATGGTCACTTCCTCCTCTAGGGAGACCATAACGTACATGGACCACAAAAGGTTCACAGGCTTTCTCAACAGTGAACTTTGAGCAGGAAGGAGGTGGATTTCCCACTTGAACAAGATTCTTGCACACCCCAGGGTCAAGAATCCTCAGTCCCAGGGGGTAACTATGTGGTTGACTGGAACTGAATATCAGTCAATCTTTTCTCTTCTATCCTCATTAAGTGATTAAACTCTTTAAAAAAAAAAAAATGGAAATGCTGGTTTTCTTTAGTGTGGGTTAAGCTTGGAATAATGTCTGGCAGGGACTGGGGGAGACACAGCCTAGCAGAGGCAGGAGAGCTGGTCTCCATCCTGGAAGAAGGCCGAGCCTTTGGCTCTAGAAGACCAGAATCAGGGCGACAAGGGGAAGCTGCAGACAGCTACGAATAAGCTCCAGTAAGGGAAGGCTCCAGGGCCCTGTGGTGCCAGCCAGGCCCCCTTCACTGAGGCCTCAGCAGAGGCTGAGAACCAGCTCTCAGGACATGGAGGCCAGAGAACAAGAAGCCAGCGGTTTAAGGAGAAGAAAACAGAAAAGACTGCCATTGTTAACCCTTCCCCTTTCGGAAAGTTCAAATTCAAACGGAAAGTCAAACTGAGAAAGGGCCAAGCTCTCCTGGTGCCTCGTCTTGCTGGCGGATCCTCTGCATCATTTGATTTGCAATTTCTAGTTCAGGAGAGAAAAGGAGTTCTTCTCCCTGGGAGCGAAATTTAAATCTCAAGAAGTGGAAACACAACCAGAACATTCTCATCTTTATCGAACCCCTTAAAACCTTTATTTTCATAAGCTATCACCTCCCCCCAAACTGGCTACGCACCTTTTTAACTGAGAAACTGATGCCAGAATTGTGTATAGAATACCTGGAGAGAGAAACAACAGTCGTGACCGTAAGAAAGATTTTAGGGGGTCAGGCTTCCACAGCAGGATAAGGAATTCCAAAATCTTGTGGACAGGCCCTCAACCAATCAGAAAGTATAGCAAACAACTAGCTCCTTAAGAGCGAGCCCCGGAGGCCAAAGCGGTTGCAACCTGTAGGGGTCAAGGACGAGACCTGAACAGGGCAAAGGCTTTTCTCCACTGAGCTTGCTTAATAAGCTTACTGAATATTAACTGACACACCCCAAGGGCGGAGATAGCTGCCATTTTTGATCATGGGACGCATGACCTAACATGACAAGGAAGAACATGGACAAACTTGTGATGGGCTGTCCAGGAAGGGTGTAACTCAGATGAACCAGACCAACAGTAGCCCTGATGGGTGGAGTATGGATTTTACTAATGGTTTAAAAGTTGATTCTACCACTGAAACAGTGCCCACGTGCTACTAAAGTGCATTGTGCCCACTTCTCTTGTGAGAAGAGTAATAAAGGCTTTCCTTCACTCACTCATTGTAGTAGATTTTTGTTTCAGATTTTTCTAACGTGACCAAGAGCGCCTAACCATGTCTTTAGAATCAGTTCTAAAGAAAGCTCATTTTAATTGAACAAAGGCATGGAAATGAGCAGCCTAAATACTGAGGCGCCCCCTCAGATGGGCCAAGCACACTGCCCACAGCAGATGCTCATAAATGCGGCCTGGTATGTGAGGTGCTTTTTTTATATTCCTCACCCATCCACTGCCCCAAATTAGTCATGGGGGACACAGCTGAGGGGGTGGCAGGTCCAGCCCAGACGTAAGCCTGGCCCTGTCTTTTACTTCCCATGTGATCCTGCGTGCCTGAGTTTCCCTGTCTGTGAAAAATGACATCCAAGACCTTGCACATATGACCCCATCACACGTGTGCTCAGGAGGAGCCCACACACATTCACTCGCTCTGTTCTAACCTAGGGAAGACTAGAGAAAGCTCGGGACAGGAACAAGGGCCAATTACCCCCCAGGACAATTCAGGACAATACCCCTGTCACCGCCTGCCTTTGGCCGCCATCTCCCAGATGGGGTGGGACCTTACCTGCCAACAACTTCTAAGATTTTCCCATACTCTTCACTGGGATTTTTCAAAGCTTTCCTCCTTGTGGCTATGTTGTAAAAAAGGTCTTCAACCTGAAACAGAGATAGATCAACGGATTATCAATCAAACAATCAAAAGCAATCAAAGACAACAGGACTGCAGACTGATTCTTCCCATCTGGAGCCAAACACGCTACATGTGGCTTTTAGGGGTAGGAGCATCGGGTGGATGAAAGGGGATGGGAAGGCAAATCTGTTCCTCATCATTAAACTACTCTCACTTCAACACATTCTCACCATCCTCTCACATGTCAGAGACCAGTAAATCTGCCTTGGCCATAGGAGCTAGCCCCCCAAACTGAAAAGTAAACACAGGAATTGTACTTTTTTTGTTTAATTTTACAAGTATTTATCTCTCCCTCCAATCATCCCCCCCAACCCCCAAAAGAATGAAAAAAAAAAACCACCCCATAAACTCTCCTAAGAAACACACAGAACCCAGCAAAACAAATGCCCGCACTGGCCACGTCCAAGATGCATGCCTCAGTTTGGATGTTAAGTCCATCACCATGCTGGCAAGAGGTGGGTAACATGATTCATTGTCAGGCCTTGGGACTTTTTGATTACATTCATCAGAGTTCTAAAGTCTTTCAAAGTTGTTTTTCTCTAGAAAGTTAAGCTTGAACAGTCTTCCTTTGTGAACTGCCTGTTCACATCCTTTGACCACTTATCAACTGGGCAACAGCTCTTAAAGTCTTATAAATTTGAGCCAGTTCTTACATCTGCCCTCAAGTCCACTCTGGCCTTAAATGTCTTCCAATTCCCCTTATTTCAGCAATACCTTGACTCATCAAACCCTCAAGGAGGACAGCCTCCTTGCATTCCTTTGTCCCCTTCATACATCCAATACTACCACCCCTAAAGTCCACATTCATCATGTTGAGATAGAAGATCTAAGTGGGTCTGTATGCAAGACCTTCATCTGAGAAACTTACTACCAAAGAATTTTTCCTCCAGTTACCTGTTTTCCTCCTAACTGCATCATATTTGTTTGTGCAAAACCTTTCTAATTTTATACAATCAGAAGTGTCTGTCTTGTTTCTACGATCATAAATGAATCGTTAAACATGCCACACTAAAAGGGGCAGTTCTAAGGCTCAAACTTGTTTTGATCCCAGTTTAACAAACACAGCTGACGACAGAAGGGGAAGCAGTAGGCTGCAGGGCTAACCCCAAAGTCAACCTCACAAAAAGCTGCCAAGTTCTCTCCAGTTGAGAAGATGTCCTTTCATCCCAAACCTACTGGAGAAAGGCTGGGAGACTCTGGAGGAAAAACCAGAAGGGCCTGTTTACTTAGCTCTGGTGCGGACCAGGGTCCTAAACACTGTGTGTCAGGGACACCTTGGCAGTCCAGTGAGCCTAAGGACCCCTTCTCCGAATCATGCTTTTAAATGCTTAAGTAAAACACATAAGATTACAAAAGAAATCAATTACACTGAAATACAGGTATCAAAATATTTTTAAAAACTAAGTTCATGGACCTCAAGGTAAGAAGCACTGGGATTGAGCCAGAAGGCACCTTCGTTAGGGGACGCCTCGGTCCCTCCCCCTTTTGTGGCTAAGGAAGGCACGGAGAGGAAGAACGGTGCCCAAGGTCACACGTGGAGTAAGTGTTGGGCTGAGACTGGAAGGCATGTCCTCTGATTCTGATCCCCATGTGCTTCCTCTTGCACCACACTGTCTTGGTCATTTTTAACATTCTTTTTAAAAATTTTGTGGGGCAGCTAGGTGGCGCAGTAGATAGAGCACTGGCCCTGGATTCAGGAGGACCCAAGTTCAAATCCGGCCTCAGACACATTACACTTACTAGCTGTGTGACCCGGGGCAAGTCACTTAACTCCCATTGCCCAACCAAAAAATTTAAAAAAAAAATTAAAGATTTTTAAAATTATGAGTTCCAAATTCTCTCCCTCCCCTCCTTGAGAAGACCAAGAAAAATAAAGTAAAAGTCAAGTCTGCTTCGCTCTGCACTCAGACATGTCAGTTCTTTCTCTGCACGCAGACAGAACTCCTCATCCTAAGTCCTTCGGATCTCTCTTGGATCACTGTGTTGCCGAGACGATCACCACTACAACACTGCTGTTTCCTGTGCAGTGTTCTCCAGGTTCTGCTCACTTCACTCGGCATCAGCTCGGCTAAGTCCAGGATTTTCTGAGAGCATCCTGCTCATCACTTCTTATAGCACAGTGATATTCCGTTATCATATACCACGACTTGTCCAGCCATTCCCCAACTGATGGGCACCAATTCTTCGCCACCACAAAAAGAGCTGCTATAAATATTTTTGTACATGTGGGTCCTTTTCCCATTTTTATGATCTCTTTGGGATAAAGACCTAAAAGTGCTATTGCTGGGTCAAAGGGTATGCACAGTTTTATAGACCTTTGGGCATAGTTCCAAATTGCTCTCCAAAAGGGTTGGATCAGTTCACAACTCCACCAACAATGCATTAGCGTTCCCATTTTCCCACATCTTCTGCAACATTGATCATTTTCCTGTTTTGTCATGTTGGCCAATGATTTCCTGAAAGATGCTGTCCAGGCTCTTCTTTCCATCATGATTTTCCGGTAGACCAATTATTTTTTAAAATTAATTTATTTTGAATTATCAACAATCACTTCCATAAGCTTTGGAGTTTTAAATTTTTCTCCCCCTCCCTTCCCACTTCCCTCCCTCAGACAGCGCATAATCTGATACAGGCTATACATATACATTCCTATTAAACAGATTTTCACCTTAGTGATGTTGCAAGTAAGAATTAGAATTAATAGGAGGAACCACTAGAAAGAGGAAGCAAAACACAACAGAAGAAAGAAAATAGCAAATAGTACACTTCAATCAGATGTGGACAGCATTTTCCATCATGAGGCCTTTGGAGATGTCTTAGATCCTTGCATTGCTGAGAAGGGTGAAGGCTATCAAAGTCAGTCATCACACAACGTGGCTGTTAACTGTGTGCAATGTTCTCCTGGTTCTGCTCACTACACTCAGCATCACTCCATACAAGTCCTTCCAGGTTTTTCTGAAGTCAGCCTGTTCATCATTTCTTATAGCACAATAGTATTCCATCACAATCACATAACACAACTTGTTCAGCCATTCCCCAAATGATGGGCATCTCCTCAATTTCCAATTCTTTGCCACCACACAAAGAGCTGACATAAATATTTTTGTACATGTGGGTCCTTTCCCCATTTGTATGATCTCTCTGGGATATAGTCCTAGAAGTGCTATTGCTGGGTCAAAGGGTATGCACACTTTTATAGCCCTTTGGGCACAGTTCCAAATGGCTCTCCAGAATGGCTGGATCAGTTCACAACTCCACCGGCAATGCATCAGTGTTCCAATTTTCCCACATCTCCAGCATTGATCATTTTTCCTGTTTTGTCATGTTGGCCAATCTGATAGGTGTGATGTGGTACCTCAGAGCTGTTTTGATTTGCATTTCTCTAATCAATAGTGATTTGGAGCATTTTTTCATATGACTACAGATAGCTTTGATTTCTCCATCTGAAAACTACCTGTTCATATCCTCTGACCACTTATCAATTGGGGAATGACTTGTATTCTTATAAATCTGACTTAGTTCTACTGCTCTTAGAGACCAAAGGGAGATCACCTAGTCCAAACGTCAATAGTATGGAAGAGGACACTGAGGCCCAGGGAGGTCAAGCGACTATCTCAAAGTCACACAGGTGGCAGGGCTGGATCTCTGTCCTCAAGCCTACTGCTCTGTCCTCGACAGAGGCCAGGGATATAGCTTCTAGAACTGGGTCTCTACTACCCAGGGCACCACAGAAATAAGGGCACAATGAAGCACTCCTAGACGCCCCTCCCCCTCCCCACTCCAACGTCACACATCCCAGGAACCACCCAGCCCCATTCTCTGCAGTGGTAGCTTCTTGAACCTCGGGGCCTGCCAGACCTTGGCAGGTGAGTTCAGGGCGGCAGCAGCCTCCAGACCACCCGGCACCCTGCCCACTCACACAGCCACCACTCACTCCCAGCCTCCGGTCTTACCGTGATCTGCGTCCCCTGGTTTCCTGCACACGGCTTAGGAGGTGCTTTGAGTTTTCCATCCGAGTAGCTTGCTCTGAAAAGAGAACAGTCTTCCTGAGCGCCTGGCAGGATGGGCATCGTGCTGCCCACAGGAGGTGTGTGTCACTTGGTGTCCTTGCCTCCCCCAGAAAAAGTGCTTTCTATTCCCCCATTCTGATCTACACCAGCATCTCTCTGCCATCACATCCTCCCAGGGTTCCTTGGGCCCAAGGGCCAAGGACTGAGGTGCAGTCATGGAAATCTGTTCCAAGTCTGGCTGGATGAAGTAACATCCCCTTCATCCCCCTAGCACTGAGCACATGGCAAATACCAAATGTTGACTGAACAGAGACTTTGTGCCAGGGATGTCTCATTTCTATCCAAGCAACTTCTCCAGCCTCTACATTTTTAAGATGCTCCATCCTCAACAAAACCAAACCCAAACAACTAAAACTTCATCTTAAAGACTTCAGGTAGAGAGGATTCTGGGAAGGTGGCGGAGTAGCTCAGGAAATTCCAAGCTCTCAAGATTTTCCCCCATAAAAGAGATGAAGTAGCATCTCAGGGTGAATATTGCGCAGTAAAAATAAATAAGAGCAGGGGTAGAACAGGGGTCTTCCTGGGACAACCAGAGAATCTGGACAACAATCTAGAGAACAGATCAAGAAGAGAAAACCTAAGAATAATCGGACTACCTGAAAGCTGTGATCAAAAAAGAATCTTGATACAATAACACAAGAAATAATTAAAGAAAATTGTCCTGAAGCATTAGAACAAGAGGGAAAGGTAGAAATAGAAAAAATCACCACCTGATCACTACCACCTGAAAGAGATCCTATGAGGAAAACCCACAGGAACATTATAGCTAAATTCTAAAACCCTCAATTCAAGCAACAAGAAAAAAACAATTTAAATATGGCAGTGCCACAATCAGAATCACACAAGACCTAGCAATGGTGACATTAAAAGTCTGTAGTCTTAGAACACTATATAATTGAAGAGCACAAGAACTGGGCTTCTAGGGGCAGCTGGGTAGTGCAGTGGACAGAGCACTGGCCTTGGAGTCAGGATGACCTGAGCTCAAATCTGGCCTCAGACACTTGATACTTACTAGCTGTGTGACCCTGGGCAAGTCACTTAACCCATTGCCTAGCCAAAACAAAAAACAAAACAAAACCAAAAAAAAAAACAAAACCCAAAAAAAAACCTGGACTTCTGGCCAAAAATATCAAACCCAGCAAAGCTAAGCATAATCCTGAATGAAAAAAAAAATAAACATTTAATGAACTGTCAGACTTTTAGGACTTTGTTTAAAAAAACAACACCCAAAAACCTGAACCTACTAGACGATTTGACATATAAGAGCCAAGAGAAATATACGGTACATACCAAAGACTAATTACAATAGGGACAGACTTTTTACCATTTATGTATGTAAAATATAAAACATATATCTCAGATTATGTTATTAGCAATCAGGTAGTTCGTAAGAAAGACTGGGGTAGACCTGAGTATATGACTTTAAAAAGTAAAACCATCTAGGAGCAGTTAAAAAGAGTAATTGTCTTATACAAATGAGGTGCGAGAGGAACAGCCGAGGCAGAGGAATTAGATGGGGGAGGAGGGCTGTTAGCTCTGGGAACCTATTTTCTTTGGGAATGGGTTCAAGAGGGAACAATACATAGAAATCTAGAGGAGTATAAAAGTCTTCTAAATCCAGAGAGAAATAAAATGCCAAGGGAGGGGAAGAGGATAAGGGAGGAATCTCCAGAGGGGAGAGTGAGGGAGTAGGTCAAAGGCGGGTATAGAACAGCGTTTAGATTCATGGGAGTGGGAGCAGAAGGGAGGGATCCTTGGAGGGAGAGGATGTTAAGTGATAGGAGGGCAAGAGAGTGGGTAGAAGGAGAGGAGTTAGGAGGAAGTAAGAGCTATGCAGAAACATAAAAACAAAGATCAGAAACAGAATTTGTTAGGTAAAGGATATATCTATATGTGTATGTATATATCTACGTATAAATATATCTGTGCTTAATCGGAGCCTTTAGGGGGAGAGGAAGGAGGGAAAAAAGAACAAAGTATAAAGCATGCAGCAGAGAACAAAAGAAAACTTACATGGAAGCAAAAATAAGATGGACAGCTTTCAACACAACTCGCAGTATTTACCATATAGGCTTTCTCGGAACGGAAATTTATTGCTATATATTTTGACTTCTCTCTTACATTCTGCTGCGCACATGACATGCTTTTTTCTCTTCTTATTTTGTATTTGTTTCAATATTTAAGTTAATAATATTTTCTTTTTCTTTTCTTCTTGTCTATTTAAGTTTTAGTAATAAAAAAGAAAAAAAAGACTTCAGATACCTGCCTGCTGGAAAATAATTACAACCCAAAGCATAAGTCAATTCAACAAACAAACATTTCTTAAGTACCTAATATGTGCAAATGAGAGCTTATCTGTAAAGTGCTTAGCACAATGCCTGGCCTGTGGTAGGTGCTCCATTAATACTGGTCCCCCCCAATCCTTGCAAGCAGCTGTGCTAGATGCTAAGGATACAGAGACAAATGACAACTGTCCCTGCCCTCGGGAGACTTACACTCTCAAGTATTATGGAACACAAAACAAGTGAAAAACAACAAGGCAGGATAGAATTCGCTTTGTTGAGCCACTCCAAGATATAAAGATAATGCACAGATATGACACAAACACAATCTACTGTTTGGATTCCCAAATGGAGGTATTCCTGCTCAAATCCCACAACACAGCCTTGGTGCCCAGTTAGCTCAGCCAGTCAGAGCCAAAGTTAGTAAGGGTGAGGTCAGTTAAGAAGCACTTAGGCAGGACCTGCTACATGCCAGTTGGCTTCCAAGCACCTGCGAGCAGGACCCAAGGAGTTGGGGAAGAGAAGGCCAACAAGTCAGTGAAAATCCTCACCGACGCCTGAAACCAGTATGGAGGCCAGGAGGCCACGGCCTTGAGATGGACAGGGCAGTGAGGATGATCCCAAGAGGACACACCCAATCAGACGTGGCCATCCCCAGCAGGTCCAGGCAAAGAGACCCAGGGCTCCTGACACCTTATGAGTGCTTCTAAATAGCCGGAGAATAGATTTGGGAAGAAAGGGGTGCAAATTCCAGCCCCTGCCTGGGAATACACACCTGTACGCACACTTGGCATCCGCCGTCTTTGTCGTCACAGTCACGTGAGCCACGTGGCTTATGCTAGCCAAGGCCTGCAGGCGAAAAAGAAAAATATCTGAAAGCAAGCTCCACTGCCCTGCCACTGACCAGCTGTGTGTCCTCAGGCACACCGCTGCACCCTCTGGGCCTCCTCTCGGCTAGGGGCTCAGAGGCTCTGCACCACTCCCTTCTCTGCTCTCTCTCTGCCCACTCCTCCTCCAGCCAGAATGGGGGTCCAGGCTTTGCCCCTCACTAACCGAGGGCCTGGCAAGGGTCACTTAAATCCCTGAGCCTCAGGGTGGTGCTGAGATCATTTCTGTGAAGCGTCTCTAACATGAGAAAACCAAAGACACCGGTGTCTGCAGTCAGGACCGTCCCTGCTCCAGAATCACAACCAAATGCTCAGCGCTAGCACCTCTGTATTCTGAAAGATTGCAAAGCACTTCACCAAGATTTTCTGGTGACCAAAGGACCACGAGGGCCCTTTAGGCTGTGCTAGGCCAGCCACACCGAACATCTTCATGTGCCAAGGCCTAAGGGCAGAACAGGAGGACGGCCTGGGTTCCTAGGAGATTACCCAGGGTGAGGAAGATGCGCCTAGGTGACTCTGAGCCCCCTACGTGAGAAATGGGTCTGCCTCCCCTCCCCCTACCTGTAACAAAGGAGGACGAGTTTTAAAGAGGAGAACCTACACTCAGAAATACTAAAATTCAAAATAAACCCTCCATTTTAAACAGACCCTGTTCATCTGAGTGCAGAATTGCCCAATGAGGCCCTGCCCAAAAACTACCAACCAAGGCCTGTCTGGCTCCCAGGCCAGGACTAGCACCCAGGTCCTTTGGGGTTAACTTTCCACCGAGGAGAAAGGACCTCCTAGAACACAGAGATGCAACCCGAGGCAGGAGCCCCGATACAGGAGCCTCAATACAGAGGCCCCGCCCAGCGTGCTAAGTGTGCCCAAGGCCTTCAAGCTAAGGGGGGACGACCCTATGTGCTGTTGGGTGTCTTGCAGAAGGATTCATTTTCAGAGACTGTGGGGCTAAGGAATCCCAGAGGCTCCACCCAACCCCGAGATTCTGTGGCTCTGCACCCATGTAATTCAGATGGGACAGCACTGAGGCTCCAGAGATGAAGGGGTCTTTGATAGATTCCCATGATCATGTTATTTAATTAGGCTAATTTTCATCAGATTATGTCTTTTAACAGATTCTGAGGTTTAAAAAATACTTTAACAAAAGCTTTACCCAAACGTCAATGTAGCCAGTGAAACCTGTTTAGCAAATCTTGACATTTCTGCCCATTCATCCTCATTCACTTTTCCTCATCTACGTGTGCAATCAGCCCATTCTCCAGTCTTTTGATTCTGCTTTTATCATAAAACATGCCTTTCCAGATGTGTCTGTCCACATCACATTTCAGGAGCTGAGATTTTAAAAGGCAAGGCATAATTGTTGTGACTACCCCCATTTACAGTACTCCATGTTCACACTGGCAGAAATGGCTGGAATCAAAGTCCCTCACATACGCAGACCTGTTGACTCACTAATATCACTCCACGGCCTATATTGCAAAGAGATTTTTTTTAAATAACAAAAGGGAATGAAGCAACAGGTACAAAAATACTGGAGCTACCCTCTTTGTTACAGCAAACAATTGAAAACAAATGGGGTGCCCATCTATCAGGGAATGGCTGAACAAATAACAAAAATTAAGGAACATTACTGCACACTTAGGAATGACAAGGAGGACAGTTTCAGAGACATCTGGGAACACTCGTATGAAGTGACATAGACTGAAAAGGGCAGAACCAAGAAAATGAGGTACACGATGACCACAAAAACATCAAGGGAACAACTCTGAAAGACTGAAACACACTGAGCAAGGCAATGGCAAGTCAGGACTTCAGATGGCCGATGGGTGCTTCTCAGCCCAGGCCAGGCAAGTGATGGACTCCAGCTACTGAACAGCAGGTACAGGTGAAGACACAGACACTGTGTGAATTTATTTTGCTTGGTTATATTTATATGCTGCAAAGGAGGGAGGGCAGGTTGTCAGAAGGAACGGTGAGACAGTGAGAGAAAAGATCATGAAGGCAACACAAAAATGCACAGAAGACAATCGAAGGAAATTCAGCAGGGGACACATCCTATTGGGGCAGGGTTAGTACCATAAGGTTCAATTGAATATACATTTAAAAGGACAACCTGTACAAAATGGTGACTCGTGGTTTCATATACACACTTGCATTCTTTGTCTATGGAAATCTTGATGCTTATTAAGTTCATAATAAAAAGAACTTGTTTTTAAACCCACAAATGGAGTAAAGGTGTTTGGCCTGTTCCAGAGGGGGCTACCGTGAAGCTCAAAGCCAAAAACAGATTCTGACCAGTAGCATGTCTAATGCCAAGGTGATGGCTGTAAAGAGAGATGGTTGAGTAGCCAACACAAGAATGAGAAGGGGCCTCTGAACATTTCATTCAACCCCATCATCCTGAAGAGGAGGAAACTGAGGCTTAACAAGGACTCCTCAGTCTCCTGGCCTTGAGTCCTCTTTGCCCTCCCCCCTTCTCCCTCCCTTTGAGTCCCAGCTCCAAGGACCTGGGAGCAGCTGCTCAGACCAAAATTTAACTTCCTCCCTGACACAGCATGGAGAGAACAGGACCAGACCCACTTCCTCTCCCATTCGATCGGATGCCCAGGGTACTTTGAGCACAAAGACAGACACGGCGACATTCCATGAATTTACACAAATCCTCCATCCTGAATGACTCAAGATTTCAAAGGTGTTCTATAATAGAGAACAGTTTTCTTTTTCTTTCAAGGGTCTTTGGAAAAATATTAAAGACAGAATGATCTCCACATGGAATAATCATGGCAGCAACAGAATTCCCAAGTTCTCCTACTTTCCAACTTACCTCCCCCCGAAAGCCATAAGTAGAAATGGAAGCCAGATCTTCAAATGACTGCAGCTTACTTGTAGTGAATCGCTCACACACAATGTCCAGATCTTCTTTCTAAATGATTAAAAAAAAAGGGAGGGGAGGACAGGATGGCGAACAAACCATGGTAATCATCATGTCTTTTTCTTTTTTTTTAGGCAACTGGGGTTAAGTGAATTGCCTAGGGTCACACAGCTAGTAAGTGTCAAGTGTTTGGTCTAAGGCCACATTTGAACTCAGGTCCTCCTGACTTCAGGGCCAGTGTTCTATCCACTGTGCCACCTAGCTGCCCTGTTAATCATCAGTTCTAAAGATGCTGGATTACACTTTTAAAAGACTTCATCCCAAAGTAAATTCTTGGTTTGCAGTTTTAAAATGGACCCATTTTCAGGTGTATTTCACGGACAATAGCCCACTTTCCAGAACAAAAAGATCTGAATCTTTTCTTCAATCTCTTTGCTTTGGCTCTAAGTCAAACATAGTTATCTTGGGAAATTTGACTTACCCGAATTCCAGTACCATTGTCTTGGATCTGAATCAGTTTGAGGCCTCCCTCTTTAACGGTCACCTGGATACTTGTGGCTTTGGCATCCAAGCTAGCAAGGAGAGAAGGTGAACTCTAATTAGTATAAAGACATTTGAGTCAGGTAATAAAAAAAACAAAGTCCATTATCTATGCTGATACATCTAGTTATAGTTTATAAAACATGAACAGTAGATTTTCTTCTCCAAGTTTAGTAATCAGACTTGCATGTCACAAAAAATGAGCACTTTCTTCTAACTGATACTAAAAGCAACATACATGTGCTTCAAGAAAAGGCCTAAATTAGGTCCTAAACTAGGTATTAGGCATCTCCTCATACCCTTTTTCCTTTCCTCATGATTTTTGGCTATTCCTCGTAAGAAACTCTACTGACTCCCCAACCTCCATGTCAGAAACCAAAGTGCTCTAACAAAGATATCTATATGCACATATGTGCATGCACACATTTTTTCAATAAGCATTCTTCTTAAAAAATATGGCCAGTCATGATGGAAAATGCTATCCATACACATAGAAAACTACGGAGTTTGAATGCAGACCGAAGCATACTATTTGCTATTTTTTTTTCTTCCATTGTGTTTTGTTTCCTCTTTCTGGTGGTTCCTCCTACTGGTTCTAATTCTTACTTACAACATTACTAACGTGAAAACATGTTTAATAGGGTTGTATATGTATAGCCTATATCAGATTGAGAACCATCTTGGGGAGGCAGGTGGGGAAGGAGAGGGAGAAAAATTTAAAACTCAAAAGCCAAAAAAAAAAAAAAGTTTATTGAATTGAAAAAAAAAAATCTGGTCAGGCAATAGAAACAGGAGGAGAACAGGAGGGAGATAGAGACAATGGAAAGAAAGATAATCTGTTTCTTGAGGTTTTTTTTCCTTGTCTGTTTTCTTTCACAACATGACTATCATGGATACATTTTGCATGACTACACATGTATAACCTATATCCAATTGTTTGCCTTCACAATGGGGGGATGGAGTGGGGAGGTAGGAGGGGAGAGAACTTGTTTTAAAAACAAATGTTATAAATGGCTTTTTCATGTAACTGGGGAAAAATAAAATACTAAATAAAAGCTTAAAATGAAAAGAAGAAAAATAACCTGAAGAAATCCCTCACCAAGGGATCCAGAAGTCTGCTACTTGGCTGGATGCACTCTGGGCTTTTCTACAGTGGGGCAGGATTTGCGGTGCCCTTTCCCCTTTGGAAGCACCGTTAGCCACACAGCTACACACCTGGGTGGGAAGCCAGGAGGCGCTACTGGAAGCACGACCTCCAGCAAGGGCGGCCCAGGGTGTCAGTTACCCCGAGGAAACTGACTTGGGCTGCCTGTCCCGGTCTCTAGGCCTGGGTCACCACCGGGAGCTGGTTTTATTTACCAGGGCTCTGGGCCGGGGGGGTTGGGGGGGGGCCTGAAGCCTAGTTTGCTCTAACACACCCCTTCCCGCCAGCAGCACAGGCAAGTGCTGGGGGACCGGGGCGGGGTGGGGGGCGGGTGTTGTGTCCTAAGCTGCTCCGGACACCTGCCGGGCACTCTAGGGGGGAGTCCTGGGCGAGGCCTCACTGCGGCCCCAAGTAATGGGCAGTTAGTGCCAGACAGCTGCCCCTCTCTACCGGTCACAGATGGAGCCAACTTCTAAGGGGGAAACTGAGGTACTGCTCCCAGCTTACGTGCAAGTCTCCCTGGCACACGGGAGGCCAATCCTTTATAAACGCTTAGAGATCCACTGATTTGCAAATTCCTTGCTTTTTCGGGGAGGGGGTGTGTGTGGGGTGTATGGATCGTATGGGGAGCGGGGTTCCTCTTCCCCCAGGCCTCGGCCCAAGCCACGGCTGGGCCCCCGCAGGGACCACGTGCAAGTGAACTCCAGGCGCCAAAGTTTCCTCGGGAGCACGAATGCGCCTGCGCACTGGAATCCCAAAGTGCCAAGCTTCTTTCTCCCCCCCCTCCCCCCCCCCCCCCCCCCCGTGGCAAGGCTCGAACCTGGTCAGCCCCTCATTTACCAATTCTCAATCATCTCCTTAATGGCGTTCGCAGGGCGCTGGATGACCTCCCCCGCAGCTATGCGGTTCACGACCTTCTCATCTAGACGCCTAATCACACCCGCCACGAGAGACATGACGACAGCTGCCAAAACTCGCCCGGCACCAAGCAGCTCAACAACGCCCCTCTCGTCCAACTACCGCAGTCACGGTTTGGGAGCTAGGCCGACTCATGCAAATGAACTCCCCTCTCAGCCAATCACCGCCGTTCCAGCGTAGGGAGCTAAGCTGATCCAAGTGCAAAAAGGCCCCTCGCAAACCAATCCTTGAAGCCTCTTTTAAGAAACCAGGCAGATCTATGCAAGCAGAATTCTCTCAGCCAATCACTTCAGCTTCGCTGCTCCTCCCCGCCGCCCCCCCATGCAAATGATTGCCCCTTTCAGCCAATCCCGTCTGCCCAGCTCGGGGCGCCAGGCAGATCCGTAAGAACAAACGACTCTCACAGCCAATCACCTCGTCCGCTTTGGTCACATTCCACCTTCCCAGATTTTCCTCACCCTCCGCTCTAGGTCTGAAGGGACTTTTCCTCCACAGCTGTGGAAACAGGGAGACGATTGGACCTCTGAGATGCCTATCGCTATCGGGTTGGTGTCGTGATCGCTCCCGAATGCAGAGAAGATCATAGGACCGCCTCACCCTCTTCCCATTGGCCGAGATGCTGAGCGGAGCGTCCCCGCAGGCGCAGTTCAATTGGCCCGTCCCCATTTTCTAAAATAAAAAATCACCACGCCAGTTCAGCCAATTAGAGCTAGGCGGCGGGTCTTCTGGAGAGTATTTTTTCGGAGCGCCAGCCCCGACCTCTCCAGTACCACGGCGGCGTCCGAGGAAGACAGTTGCCTGGCCCTGGCTCTCTCCACTCTCTCCCTTTCCCACCCGGCTCGCTTTTCTGGGCAGCAGGTAACGATGGCGTTCTCGAAGATGTGGGCGACCCCGAAGAGGCGCCGAGCCGAGCCGGAGGAGCCGCATGTGTTCCGGAACGAGTGGACCCAGCGCTACTTGGTGGTGGAGCGGGACGACGGAGAAGGTGCCGAGTGTCTGGTATGCCACCGGCCCATCGTGGCCACCCGGGAGCGCGATGTGAGGCGCCACTACGAAGCCGAGCACGAGCACTATGAGGCGTACCCGGCGGGCGGGGAGCGCGCGGCGCTGGTGGAGAGACTGAGGCGGGGGGACGCGTCGGCGGCTGCCGCGCTGTCCGACGAGGAGCGGGCGGTCCGCGCCAGTCTCGGGGTCGCGCACCTGTTGGCGCTGCACGGGCGGGGATGGGGAGAAGGCAGCTTGGTCCGCAGCTGTCTGGAAGTCGTGATGCGGGAGGCGCTGCCCGAGCACTGCAACCTGGTGGACGAGGTAGACCTGTCCCCCGAGAGCATGGCGCAGAAGACCCTCGGTCTCGGGCGCAACCTGCACGCGCAGCTGCTGGACCGCGCCCCCAACTTCCGGGCCTACTCCCTGGCGCTCGATGACCAAGCCTTCCTGGGCACTGAGAAATGCCTGATGGTGTTCCTGCGCGGGGTGGACCACGATTACGAGGTGGACGAGGAGCTGCTGACCGTGGTAAACCTGGCGGACAACCCGTCCGTGACCCTCGCGATGCGCTTCATCGGGGAGTCCATGGCGCGCCTGGGGCTGGCCTGGGACAAGCTGGTGGGCGTGGCATCCACCGGCACCGGGTTTCTCGCCTCGGAGGACTGCGGCTTGGTCCAGCTGATGCAGGAGCGCGCGGCCGAGTCGCGCAGGGGCGTGGGCGGGCACTCGCCTCTGCCGCATTGCGCCGGATTGCTGCACCTGGAGATGATGGGCTCCATCGAGCTCGATGTGGGCGGGGTCGTGGACGCCGTGGCCGGCTGGCTGGCTCTCCTGCGAACCCGCGGCGTGAGCTCCCTCGGCCTCAAGCTGCTGGTGGAGGAGGCGGAGATGCACCACGGCGGCGAGGTCAGCCTGCGGTGCCTGACCAACTGGCTGCGCAGGGGCAAGGCTCTCAAGCGCGTCTTCGGCCTGCGGCGCGAGCTCGAGGTCTTCCTGGCCCAGACGGGCGCGGCCCCCAACGGGGACCTGCGCGACCCCCTGCAGGACCCGGACTGGCTGTGCGACATGAGCTTCCTGGTGGACATGCAGGCGCACCTGGCCGAGCTGGCCGCCGAGCTGCGCGTGCCCGGCACCTTCGCCTTCACCGTCATGGACCACGTCTGCGCCTTCGGGGACAAGCTGCAGCTGCTGCGAGCGCACCTGAGCGCCGGTGACCTCACCCTCTTCCCCGCCAGCCGAGAGCTCAGCGGCGAGCTGGACCACCAGGGTCAGGCGGTCCGCGAGGTGCTGGCCTCTCACCGCTACCAGGAGGGGCTGGCCCGCCTGCACGCCAAGCTGCAGAAGCAGTTCGAGGACCTGTCCGTGGTGAAGCGCGACCTGGACATGTTCGCGGACCCCTTCAGCTTCCCCGTGGAGAGCGCGCCCCTGCACATCCGCGAGGAGCTGATCCGCATGAAGTCCAGCGCCACCCTGCTGTCCGAGTACCAGGAGGAGAACCTGGGCGCCTTCTACGCCGGCCTGCCCCCGGGCTGCTACACCGAGCTGCAGGCGGTCACCTTCCGCGCCGCCTCCCTCTTCGACAGCAGCTGCATCTCTGACCGGGCCTACAACTACGTCCTGCGCAACCAGACCCGCCTGAACCACCTCCGCGCGGAGGACCACTTCCACGCCCTGCTGCGCATCGCCACCACCAACTACGAGCCCCACCTGGATGACCTGGTGCGCAGCAGGAGCCGCCCCCTGGCCTGAACAGGCTGGCCCAGGCGGCTCCCGGTCTTGGGGACCACCCCCCCCCCCCAAGATGCCCGTGTCATTCGTGCCGAGAGGGAACAGACTTTCGTGTTTTCGTCAGTGGCAAAATGTGAAGCTAATCTGTGCTCTACTCTCTCTGCTTAGTTTATTGCTGTAATTGTAAAAACCAACGTAATAATAGTGGTAGTATTGTGAAGATTTAACACAACCCTCTCAAGCACTTGGTTTAAAATTTGTGATATGGTCTTTTAAAAGTGTGTTTAAACTGTTTTGCCAAAACTTAATGTTATCTTAGTGAAAAACTGTGAAAGGAAGAATTAATATATTGGAAAATTTGTTAAATATAAAATGTGTCTTTGAATTTTTCGATTTTGTGAGATTGTGAGGTGAAAAAAATCACCAGATTTTTCTTTTCCAGTGGTGTCGGGCTATTCTTACTATGTACATTAAGATTGAATGTCATTGGTTGTCAATCAGAAGATGTGTCAGAGACCTAATTCTGAGTGTGAAGGTTTGCCTGGGTTACAAATGCTGGTATAGTGAGCTTCGAGTCTTGTTAAGTTCGGTATTGCTAATTGCAAATACGGGATGCTAAAGAACGGTCTTGATTTTCATAGTAAGGAGTAAGAAGAGCCCTTTTGGTTTTTTTTGTGTAGTTACTTTTAGGTCACTTTTCCTGTCTGCCTTTTACAGGCTCATGGAAAAGTGACAACTGCAACTTAGCCAGAAATCTTAAACAGAGACTGGACAATCAGAGAGTCCTTTCTCTTCCCTTTTAGAAAAAAGGCACATAAAGTGAGGTGACTTTTCCCTCACTTGTCATCTGTATATAGTTCACGGGGGAAAAGGTACCTCCGAGGAAAGGAATTTTAATTCGAAAAGTGTGTAGGAGGTGCACAACTAGGGACATTTTTTCATTCATAAATCAAAGACATTTCTGCATTTGCTGTGTTCCTTTGAAGTAATAGTGTTTGAATAAAATAGCTTCATCTCACACAGCTTTTTTTACTTTTCAATGTAAAAGTCAGCCTCGCCACATACTGAAAGTATTATTTTTTACCAAAAAAAGTTAAAAAAAAAATGTTCGTGGTATTATAAGTAATAGTGAAAAAAAAAACAAAACTTGGAGTCAACCTAAATGTTTAACAACGGAAGGAATGGTTTGAGTTTTAGCTAATTAATGTAATGGACTGCTGTAATGAAGCTAAGACAGACAAGGATGAAGAATATAGAGAAATCTGGAAAGACTGTTGAAAACTGAACCAGAATGGAAGACAAAGTTGCTACCATGTAAGAGGGAAAAGAAGAATGAATGGACTGATAAAATCCTTGTGGACTCCAGTAACTGAAAAATTGTTGTAATACTTTATATGTTGAAATTAAATGTAATAACTAAGCAAGTTTGGATGTATTGATGTTCAGTGTTAATATTAATAAAGCATTCAAAACATCTGGTCTTTTCATTCTGTGGCCCCTTAGGAGCATGGGGGTGGTTGATAATCCCGGGTTCTTGAAAGCCTTGCTGGTGGCACCCGGACACTTTAAAGGTCTTTTCATGTTAAAATACTTTAACATTGACTGCATCCATTGTAGTCTCTGCATAGTTCAATTTAGAGGACCTAGTCATGGGGGGTGGGGGGAACACTTTTTTCCCACTCAGGTTTAGATCTGCATTTTGGGATTTACAGGAAGGTCCTCAAAGTAGCAAACTCCAAAGCAATAACACTTCACTTACATCTTCAAGAACTCCAACCATCGAAAATGTCCAGGGGGGAGATGAATGAAAAGCCAAGATTGATGTCACAAAGTTCAGGCAGCCTGAGCTTGTATATTTTAGACAGAGGGCATTTTGTGGGATCCTGTTTAATTAAGACACGGTTCTAAAGAACATAAACAGTCTTTAAAATCCACAGCATTTTAGGATTAGGAAATGGGAAAGGGAGTTTAGAAAACAGTTGGAGACAGGCAGAGTGGTCACATTAAGAACAGAAACCACCTCTAAATGCAGAGCAGCTTCCAGTCTCAATCCATAAATTAAGCAGTTCCTAGGTGCCAGCGAATTTAATAACCCTAACCCTAACCCTAACCCTAATCCTAACCCTAACCCTAACCCTAACCCTAACCCTAACCCTAACCCTAAATGCACACTATACTAAGCTCTGGGGGTATAAGAAGAGGCTGCAACAGTCCTGCCCCTTGGGCCCCTCAAGGAATTCGCAGTCTAAAGGAGTCTCGATGCAAACGTATACAAACAAGCCACATACGGGATAAATACATAATTAGCAGAGGGCAAGCACTGGAAGTGGGAGCTAGGGGATGCTTCCTGTAGAAAATAGGGTTTCAGTTAAGTATTAGAGGAAACCAGCAGAGTTTGGAGTCAATAGTTCTTGAAACCATTATATTATAACCTTGCAGAATTCATCTCCATAAAGATGACTTAATCATCCAGAAATGCCTAAATCATGTCCCATATAGTGTGCTTAACACAGGAAGTGTGTAATATATTTTAGAAAATTTTCTTTAAAAACTGACTAAGTTTAGAATTTCATGAGTAACAGAGAGCTTTAGTTACATGTGATTACAAACTTGTAATCCAATTTGCATGCTGTTTTGCTGCTTAACTTAAGTATTATAATTTAGTAATTTATTTGGAAAGCATTCCCTAAAGATAGTGGTGGTGTGCCTTCCCTATTCATGGACACTATAATTGAGCCTCACTTGGAAAAAAATAGCTTTCACACTTTGAAGTTTGTAATCTTAAAACTTTTTCCTTTAGCCTCTAGATTCCTGCCTCAAATTTTAAGCATTTTGTGAGATTCCAGTCTTTGGCTTAAGCTAACAGTGAGATTTAGCAAGACGAGATTGTAGTGGATAGAGTGCAGCCTTCAGAACCAGGGAGACTGGTTCAAGCCCACTCCTGACTCGTACTGGAAGAGTGAGTAGCCATCTTACTGCCTCCAGGAGCCTTCTAAGAAGAGGGTGCCAGAAGGGGTGCCGCATTGGCCTGGGGACCTCCTTCCCAGATGAAATCACGTCCTAGGTGAAAACAAACAAACAAACAAACTAGGCCTCTGGCATTTGAGTGGTCAGGGTAAAGGAGTCCAAGAAATGAAAATTAAGTGGACTACCTTGATTTTTTTTTTTTTGTTTGCAAATCAATTTGCATACTATTCTGTTGATTCTGTATTATCTATTACCCGAAATATTGTGCCTGAATGAAACATGGAGCAAATAATGCAATGCTATACTGAATTTCCAGTGACTCTTGTTGGGATGTTTGTATGTGGAAATCTGTACTTGGACACAATTTAATAACTGAAATGTCTCCACATATGTAGTAGACACTTGAGGTATTTAAGGTCTAAAAAGTTACTCAATCCTGTGAGCTTCCAAAACTTTGTTTTGGTCTAAGTGCCCTTGTCTGACATTCTAAGGCAGTGGGGTAGTCCTGGAGTCAGAACTCTTCTGATAACTGCAATTTCTGGAAATTTGTAAGATTACAACGTTCCTGTGCCTTGATTTCTAATCTGTAAAATGAGGCAGCCCTTTCTACTTTGGGAAAGCTGTTGAATTCGGGATCATGTGAGACCCAAAGCTGGAAGGGACCCCTACTTAACCCAATCTCATTTTATAGATTAAGTGACTTGCCAAAGGTCATGCAGCTAATAAGTGTTTGAGGTGGGATCTGAATCTGGGTCCCGCCGGACTCCACGAGCAATGCCTTTTCCATTGCAGCAAATTGTGGAGTTTTTCCTTACACTGAGCTAAAATTAGTAAAGTTTGGTAGAAACACAATCAAGTGACTTAGGGATTAAGCAACATAAGGCAGAGAAAGCAGCATGTGTTCTGGGGGTCAGCTCTGGAACAAGGTGGAAAATCCTACCTATTTCTTGGGCACAGTAGGTATTTACATTTTTTCAGGAGCCTGCTTATTTATCCAATGGAATCCAATTGGTAGGGTTTCAGGCAGTGGGATAAAATTAAGTTTTCAGGCTCTTTAGGGGAAAGAAAAATTGATAGGCTTTCCCAAACTTCCTATAAATCATACCATCTGGGAGCATCCCAATCCCTAAAGCAATTTTGCTTTTCATAATTACTTCATTCTTACTTTTACTTCTAAGCTGTTGGGGGCTCTAAATTTGCTCTAATTGTTTTTCTTGATTGGTGCAAGCAAACGTTTAAAGTATAATTAGGCTTAAATTTCAGGCTCACCAAACGGGGAGATTCTCAATACACAATGATGGAAGGGGGTGGGAGGTTGTTTTTGGTGGCCTGGGAAACCTTCAAGTAGAATAAGTGAAGTCTTAGGCCTTTTGGATGTTTATTGACCCCAGTGAATCTTGATCCGACAGAACAATAAGGGAGAGAAATGCAGGCTAGGAAGCTTTGTGGGAAGAGATTGAGGGCTGCCTCCCACCCTGCAGGGACTGATTCATCTCAGAATCTGAGTTGGAATTTACAAAGGCCTACTTAATGGCATCCTGCTGCACTATAGACCTGCTGGTGACAGTCCTTTGCATTTGGCATAGAATTAATTTTTTTCCCTTTTAAAAAATGTTTTTCATTTATTTTTGCAGTTACAAGCAAAAACAGTTTTTTAACATTTTAAGATAATTTTTCAGTTCCAAGTTCCATCCCACCTCCTTGAGAAAGCAAGCACTTCAATACAGATTATATAAGAGGAGTCGTGCAAAATGCATTTCCACATTAGCCATGTTGTAAAAAAACAACACAGATCTGAAAAGCATCCTTCGGTCTGCATTCAGATGCCATCAGTTCTTTTTCCCAAGGTGAATAGCATTTTTCATCGTGCGTCATTCAGCTTTATCTTAGATCGTTGTATTGTTGAGAATAGCTGAGTCATTTTGGTAGAGAATTTTAAACAACTTTTTATTTTCTTCTTTTTTTTCACCTTTTTTTCTTAAAAAAAAAAATAAATTTATTGGTTATATTTTAAGTTCCAAACTGTCTTCCTCCCTCTCTCTTTTCCCGAACTA